TTTCTGGCTGCAACAGGTCTCAAAAAAGTTGGGACACAGGCAAAAAAGGGCTGAAAAAGCAATTAATATGTTAGAGAATCAGCTGAAAGAACATTTAGCAAGTAATTAAGTTAACTGGCATCAGGTGTGTAACATGATTGGCTATAAAAGGGATGTCTTAGAGAGGCTGAGTCTCTCAGAAGAAAAGACGGCCAGAGGCTCTCCAACCCGTGAAGGCTTGTGTAAAAAAAAAAAAAAATTGTGGAATACTTTAAAAACAATCTTCCTCAACGTCAAATTGCGAAGGCTTTGAAGGTCTCATCATCGACAGTGCATGTCATCATCAAAAGATTCAGAGAAACTGGAAAAATCTCTGTGCGTAAGAGACAAGACCGAAGACCTTTACAGGATGCCCGTGATCTTTGGGCCCTCAGACACCATTGCATCACTCACCGGCATGATTCTGTCATTGACATTACTAAATGGGCCCAGGAATACTTCAAGAAACCGCTGTCTGTTAACACAGTCCGTCATGCCATCCACAGATGCCACCTAAAACTCAGTCATGCAAAAAGGAAGCCATTGTTGAGCATGATCTGGAAGCGCCGCCGTGTTCTGTGGGCCAAGGCTCATTTAAAATGGACTCTAGCAAAGTGTCCTGTGGCATCCTGTGGCAAATTTGACATTCTTGTTGGAAATCATGGGCGTTGTGTCCTCCGGGCTAAAGAGGAGTGTTACAGCCCTGTTGGTCTGTTTAAAGCACAGATAAGAAAGCATGCAAAAATTCCACTTTGCTGATTGGTATCAGTATTCAATTAACTCTTTTTTTCAGTTCAATTTGTGAAGAGACAATTGAAGCTCATTAGCTCCACCTGTGTAAGACTGTTTAATGAGCTGCCTTCTCTCAATGGGGGAGAGAGGCTGGATTTGTTGTGACCATGGTGCTGAGTTTAGGGGTTGTTATTGATAAATATGCCTGGCCAAATAAATCACTTTTTTTAACCTTTGTTTCCCTGTGTGGTCTCCCTTTTTGTTATGACCTTAGAGATATGGTCGTAACAATTGGGGGCTCGCCCGGGAGCTGGATATTTGGATTTTTTTTGGTTTTTTTGCATGTTTTTGCCATTATTGGACCGGGTTTAGTTTGTGTTTTCCTTCAGTTTGTAGTAAATTAGTGCGTGCATTTTGGCTTTTTGCATGCTGTTTTTGGTAATGAGATTTTATGACCTGCCCTTGTGTCTATGCATTTATTAGTTTTGTATATTGTAGTTCTGTGAACTGGATAGAGTTTGAGTGTTGGGGTGTCTGAAGCTCATTTGAGTTCTGTTATTTGTGCTTTGGGAGATGCAGAGGGAAATCTTGATTGAAGGCTATGGCATGTTTGGTTTGTGTTGTATTTGTTTTGGCCATATTATTGAACTGGTGTATTGAATGGCCTGAGTTGTGAGGTGAATTTGTTTAATCAAGTACTTGTGGAAAATGGAATTATATTTTCCTAGTTTAAGTTCTATTTGTCAAATGGGACATGTTGGCCAACTGGTGGATGACAGATTTTACAGGGTAGTCGTCGGGCAAGCCCAGGGTAGCTTGTCACTTTATTTTTCCTTTTTTTTGCCGGTGAATATGGGGGACTGAATGGCATTGCCAATCATGAGCCCAAAAAGTCGGCGAAGACTAGGTTACGTCAGGTTAGTTGAGCAGAGATCTATCCACTTGTGCACTGGGATTGGCCTCCTGTTATTTTTTTTTATTTATTTATTTATAAATGATCTTGGAGAGAACATGGTCCCATTTGTACATTTAAATTCCTTCTGTGGAAGGACGTGATTTATGGTTTCAAGTTGGTTTTTGGATTGTTGAGTATGTGTCTGGGGGGATGACCCTTCATTTTTGTGCCTGCTTGATGTTTCTGCAATACTTTATGCATTGTGGGATATCTGAATTATTTTTGCTTGCGCTGCTTTTGGTGCACATTGATGCTATGTTCGTTTTGTGTCTTGAGGTGGACTTTGGTGTTTGTATTCAGAGTGCTTTTGGATGGCAGTGCTGGGGTTCACTTTCAGACAGTTGTCAGTTTTATTTTGATTGCTTGTGTAATTTTGGTTTTGGTGGTAGTGCTGCTGTGGTTGTCCCGGAACGGACTTCAATTGCTTGCGCTACTGGTATGTTTATTTTTTTATTTTTTTTTTTTTTAGTGCTTAATTCACGTTGCATGTGCTCTTGACATGAGATCTAGATTTTTACTTGATTCACTTGCCACATGTACAAGTTTTGCTGTCAGGATCTGGAGTTCATTCGCTGGCCATGTGGGCCAGCTTTGTGTGTCCGGGTCCGGAATTTGTTCGCTGGCCATGTGGGCCAGCTTTGTGTGTCCGAGGACCTACAGTTTGTTAAACATGTGGGCAAGCTTTGAATCTGGAGAGCAATTGTGCTGCTTTGTCTTGGGTGTTTTGATTTTGATCATTTGGGTTTGCTTTGTTTCAGCCATGGTCTGGGCTTTGTTTGCCTGATGTGGATTGCGTTTGGGTTGAATTGGACTGTGCTTTCCATTGGGCTAGTTTTGCATTTCAGGTGTGTGGTTTTTACTGTTGCATGAGTTTTTTGCTTTAAAGTTTTTCTTGTCCCACTTATCTGATTTTGTTTTGTTCCTCTATTTCCATAAGTGCTTGATTGTGATTAAATGGTTTATTGTATTTGCTTTTGAGGCAACTAATTCAGGGCCCTATGGGTCCCTGTTAGGGGAGTGTTACAGCCCTGTTGGTCTGTTTAAAGCACAGATAAGAAAGCATGCAAAAATTCCACTTTGCTGATTGGTATCAGTATTTAACTCTTTTTCAGTTCAATTTGTGAAGAGACAATTGAAGCTCATTAGCTCCACCTGTGTAAGGCTATTTAATGAGCTGCCTTCTCTCAACTGGGGGGTAAAGGCTGGATTTGTTGTGACCATGGTGCTGAGTTTAGGGGTTGTTATTGACAAATATGCCTGGCCAAATGAATCACTTTTTTTAACCTTTGTTTCCCTGTGTGGTCTCCCTTTTTGTTATGACCTTAGATATGGTCGTAACAGGAGAAAGACCACCCCTCCTGTTATCAGCGTTCAGTTCAAAGCCAACATCTCTGATGGTATGGGGATGCATTAGTGCATATGGTGTGGGACACTTGCATGTTTTAAAAAGCACCATAAATGCTGAAAGGTATATAAAGGTTTTAGAGCAACACATGCTCCCCTCCAGGTGACATCTATTCCAGGGAAGGCCTTGTGTATTTCAGCAGGACAATGCAAAACCAGATACTGCAGCTATTACAACAGCATGGCTTCGTAGTTGAAGAGTCCGTGTGCTGAACTGGCCTGCCTGCAGTCCTGATCTTTCACCGATTGAGAACATTTGGTGCATAATTAAACGAAAAGTCCGTCAAAGGAGATCCAAAACTCTCCAGCAGCTGGAAGCCTGTATTAAACAAGAATGGGATCAAATTTCAATGGCTAAACTCAAGAAAGTTGTCTCCTCAATGCCCAGACGCCTCCACTCTGTGTTAAAAAGAAGAGGGGATGCTACACCATGGTAAACAGGCCCCTGTTCCAACTTTTTTGAGACCTGTAGCAGCCATCAAATTTGAAATGAGCTCATTTTGTAGATAAAAATGTAAAATGTCTCCATTTCAACATTTGAAATGTTATGTTCTACTGTAAATAACTTATTGGCTCATGTGATCTGAAAGTCATTGCATTTTGATTTTATTCACAATTTACACTTTGTCCCAACTATTTCGGAATTGGGGTTGTACAATAACAGATTTAAATAGAAAAATTTCATCTCCAAAATTGGCCACCTTTGTCTCACATCTGGTACACATTAGTGTATAATGACTCGTTTGTTTTAATTTGGATTCTCAGCCCTCTCACCGTATGAGATGCACCCGTTTCATCAACAAGGCCGTGACTGCCAGCTTCTCCATGGAGTTTGATGGTAATACGGTTTTATAGGATAAGAATGTTGATGCGTGAGTTCAATCATTAAATAACCACTGCTCTGTGGTGCTGGACTATGGGGCCTCTCTCAAACTTGGATACATCCCCTGCAAAAGGCCACCGCCGTGGATAAATGAATTTATCCAGAGTTTTCAACAAATGTAGGATTGAGCACTTATGGAAACGCACAAAGCTTAGAAGTGCACTGTAGAGAGCTCATGTGTAGCCTAAATGACATGGTGAATGCTAAGAGAGCACCTCATTTTTCAGATCTGATTTCCTCCAGTAAAAGAAACCCTAAAGTGCTGTAGATACTGTTCACTGTATTGCACTCCAAGCTCGCCAATCTTGTAAAACAGTGACTGCAATAACTTAAATTTCTATGGACAAAGTTGTAAGCATTTCTCCATTTTCCAGTCCAACCACTGACTAGTGGACCCTGAAATCCATCCATCTTTTACTCTTTCCCATGTCCATAGTTTAGGACAGCTGACACCCTCCTCGAGCACTCTAGTCTCATTGTCCTTCTGACCGCTGTTTTTAAAGGTTTTTAATTATATTGGCTGCTGTATAGCTGATATCATCAACCACTCTCTCTTATCAGGGTGTGTTCCCAATTATTTTTCACAGGCCTTCATTCAACCTCTGCCGAAGGAACCAAAACTCAACCTATTCCTGCCGGATAACTACAGGCCTATCTCTCCACTCCTTTTTTTCCCCAAACTTTTAGAAAAGGTGCTGTAATTGAAAAGCAACTTGTTCAAATACTGTAGCATATTTAATAAATTTCTGTCAGGTTTCTGTTAACTATTCTTTACTGAAATGGCTCTATTTAGGGTCTCAGGTGACATTTCAATGTTTCCTGACACTGGACATTGGGCGGTTTTTTTTATTGGACTTCAGGGCAGAATTTAGTACAGTGGACCACCACATTTTAATACACAAGCTACATCACCTGGTGGGCATTCCTGGGACTGCACTGGAGTGATTCTCATCCTATCTCACTTATAGGACTTTTGTTTATTTTGTAGATGAATATGTCGGAGAAGATGGCACGGTGGCGCAGTGGTTAGCGCTGCTGCCTCATGACAAGAAAGTCGTGGGATTGAATCCGGCCTGAAGTTTTTCCTATGACTTTTTCGCGTGGGTTTCCTCCGGGTACTCCAGTTTCCTCCCACAGTCCAAAGACATGCACATCAGGCTAATTGGAGATACTAAATTGCTCATAGGTATGAGTGTGAGGGTGAAGGGTGTGTGTGCTCTGCGATGGATTGGCGAGCTGTCCAGGGTGGGTCCCTGCCTTCGCCCATAGTCAGCTGGGATAGGCTTCAGCTCCCCCGAGACCCTACTGAGGAAGAAGCGGGCATAGAGAATGGATGGATTGACATGTCGGACTCTGCCACTTTGCCATGTGGGATCCCCCAGGGCCCAGTCTTGGGACCCATTTTATTTTCTGTACAAATGCTGCCACGAAGACAGATTATCAGCAGTTGTAGTATCTCTTATCACTTGTTTGCGGATGATATCCAGTTGTATTTTTTATTTAAGCCCGATGAGCTTCATAAACTTTCTTTACTGAAGAACTGCTTAAATGCTGTTAGGAACTAGATGGCAAACAACATTCTGCAGTTCGATGCAGATAAATCCAAAGTCTTGATCATTGCCCTTGATAGATTTTACTCATCGATCAAGCAGACCCTTGATGCCTTATCCTCTTCCTGTCAGCCTAGTCTGCATGATCTCGATGTGATCTTGGATCGTGCTTTCCGGTCGGCAGCTCCCAAGCTGCGGCAAAGTCTCCCAATAAGCTTGAGGCATTTGAACTCTGCAGATTCTTTTAAAAAGTAACTAAAACCCCATCTTTTCAATCAGGCGTTTAGGTAATGCGTAGTGTTTTATGTATTAACTTGTGTCTAATGTCTGTTCTTCTGTATAATTTATCTGGTATTTTATTGTATTTTTAGGTATTTTAGCTTTGTTTCACCTAATTGATAACATTTTATTTTTATTACATGATTGTGGTGCTCTTTGTGGCTGGTGTCTGTAAAAGGTGCTGCATAAACAAACTTTGCTTGCTTGCTCATGCAAGTTCTATGGTTTAGAAATGGTAGCACCAAATAAAAGGGACATCTGACAACAAGGAGAGCTGAAAATATTTGAAATATAGCATACTCTTAAACGGATATTGATTTATTTTATGTGGGTCCTCTTATCGGTGGTTTACATGTGTTTAGCTCCTGTCCCTGTCCTTAGCAGTGTATCGGTCTGCTTCAGTGCCTGCATTACTCTGTGGCACTACAAACTGGGAGTTTGCGGACTGCTATCCTCTACTGGTAATACACTGTCTGGGCATAAGTACCTCATACAACCCCACTTCAAAAACCTATACTATCCCTTTCAGACAACATATCGACTGTTGTGTACATATTTGGCCTCGTTGTGTCATTACTCTCTTCCGTGGAAAGGAAGACAAATATTGTTAGCACAATGGTAATGGTACTAATGCATTCTGTGTCAGGGCAGTTCAACTGTGAACTAAAGGCCTTTTTGGGCACTGTGAAAGTGACAGTATGCATAATTAAATGTGTGCCGTTCTTATTTTAAAAGGAGACTTTGGGGTCAAAGAAATAGGAACACATTAATAATATTGTGGTCAGCTCGGTAAAGAGTTCTTTAATGGCACTGTTGAATGACTCTTAAGAAGTTATCATCGAACATGTAAATCCAGAAAATGCATTAAATATGCACTGCCATCATATTTACTGATACTTCCTCTTCAATATTCATGGGATGTCAAATGCCAAAGATTGCTCCCAGAAAATTAATTACTGGGGTTAAAAAGTTGAGTGGTTTTCCACGCCATAAAAATGTAGTGTATTGAAGTTTGGTTTTGAAGGCGGTACAAGTTTTTGCGTCGAAGAAACTCTGGCAGTATAGATGCAAATTCTGATTCCTGTTTCTGCTCGAGGCTTTTGAACCATTGTGCTTTTGACAAAGATACGATTATAACTGCGACAGGCCTGGGATAGATGGGTCTGGCTGCAAACTTTGCTATTAAAAGAAAAGGGTCCAGTTTGCATCTATAGGGAGTTCACTGTAAATCGCCAGAGTCTGAGTCTTTGAAGCCAAGTTCATTTTGGGTATCGTGTTGGTGGGGGGATGTGATCATGACAGTGATGCATTAGTATTAAAATGTAAGCTGTATTTTACTAATATAGGTTTCTTTATGGGTTCATACGATCAGTTCCCATGCTGGGCCCTGACAAGTTAAATATATGATGGCGATGGCGATGGTGAACAGTGTCCTGACACTGACTGTGGAGCTGCATGAATTGACGTAGCCTGGAGAAAGTAAAATAAACTGTCATTTATTCTGCAAGTCATGGCTGGTTATCACAGGAAGTTGAGTTTGTGTCCAAACCAGAGCCGTTCTCACTGAAACCCTTCTCTGCTGTATCGTACAGCGGGTGCGTGAACTTGTCTGTAATTTTTGTGGGAAGAAGTCGATGGGTTTGAAGAAAGGCCTCAATGAATCAAGGGCTGATTTCGTTTGATGTACCGAGCGGGGACACGGCAAATCGATGTTCCTTGCAGGCCATAAAACACGAAAAGTACTGCAGGAATGCATTGCGAGGTGAGCTGGGGCGCTGTCTGTCTGGTTGTTTCTAATGGGGCTGCCTGTTTGCAGGTATGTGTGTGTGATCAGGTCCATTTTCTCAGAAGGGAAATATGCAGAAACAGTCTCATTCTGTCCTTAACCCTTTCCTTACAGAGACTCACTTCACTGGGTCTAAAAGATAAAACTTTCCATTTGACTTACAGGACATTGTTACCATGGTTACAGACAGGTTGGGCATATACTTACAACTACTTCAAACTCAAGCTGGATGTATATGCTGGAAAAGTGGTGACATCATTTTGAGGTCAACTTGCCGTAGCCATGGCAACTGGTTCACGCCGAACAAACCAAACCATAAGCAAAGAACTTAGGACGGTGTTTATCGCCATGGTCCTCGTGTCTGTGTATGGAATTAAGCTTTATTTTCAGTGATCTTATACCCAAAATATGCTCGTTATTTTATTTATTTAAACCTCCTTTACAGGAGAAATATGAATAGTACACAATGAATCAATACATCTACATTATAGAAAAATAAAATTATACATGAATTAAAAGGAACAATTAGAATTGGTAAACATTAAACAGTTTAAAATGGATATATATACACAGACAAAGTTAAAAAGCTTTCATCAATAAATTGGCAAGCAGCCTCTCCTCTGATTTAGGGTTGTTATAAAACAACAGGAAGCATTTCTCACTGTATTTTTGATCGTCAAATCTTTAGGTATTTTGTGCGGTGTGTTAAGTGCATGAGTGAATGTGTTGCTATGCTGTGAGCGTGAACCGTTGTCAAGGAAGTGAGTGTTGACCCCAGTGAAAGTGACGTCACACTTTTCCAGCGAATTGCGCTCACTTGTTTGCTGCTGAAAAAAAGTTTACATCAAGTTTCTCAGGAAAACTCAGAAGAGAGAGGGTTAAAAATTTTCAGTCTGGTTTCATTATACTCTGAGCAGCATGGCAGTTGGCAGTGTTCTCATAGGTTGGAACGTCGTGAAAGCATTTTGGGAATCGTAACACCTGTTAGCCCACAGAAAACACCCCCCAACTTCTACCCACAGGCCTGGTCATGAATATGCATCATGTGTTGGTGCATATTTGCGTATGACCACAATAAAGCTGAGATGTAAAGAAATGTCGATGCATATTTATGACTAGCAGTGTTTGTAAATGTGGTGAAAGCATTTTGGGAATCATAACACCTGTTAGCCCACAGAAAACACTCTCCCCCCCAACATTTACAAGCACTTTTTGTCATAAATATGCATCAACATTTCTGTACATGTATTGTACTTTACTGCAGTCATGTCTGACTCGCGACTCTACAGCAGTGATGGGTAACGTCTGTCCTGGATGGCCACAGTGTCTAACAGACTAAACTAACAAAAATACAATAGTTAACGGACACTGGTTCTTGAACTTGATACAAAAAAGAACTCCTGCAGGGTCCAAACAAATAAACATATGTGCATAGCCTTGTAAGCTTCAGTCAGTCATTCATTCAATTATGGCCCGTTTGTGGTCCAGGCCCATAGTTTAAGAAATGTTGCTGTAGGTTCTGATTTTTAAGCACCATGCTGTGCTTGGTCAGTAATTTGACAAAATTATCAACTTTTTTTGGCTAACCTGACAAGTCCAGTGAGCTTATGTCATGATCTGCTTGTCTGCTGTTTATCGTCCATCCTGCGTTATATAACTAATAGGCCCCTACTCTTTTGTTTGTGTTGATTCCTTATTTTATTACGTATTACAACCCTACCGCCCCTCATTGTTATTATTATTATTATTGTTATCATTATTAGCTCCCGCCGCGAGCGGCGCGGGAGCTATGGTATCGGGCTCCATCCGTCCGTGCATCGGTCAACCAAAACTTTGACATTTTGCTTTGTCTCATCAACTATTTCCGTTACCGGCTCCTAATTTTTACTGGACATGCATCTCATAAAGGCCTACAAATGACGTGCCTAAAGGTGGCCTTGGCCTATTTTTTCAAGGTCAATGGCCTAAAAATATCACCAAAAACTTCAACATTTTGCTTTATCTTATCAACTATTTCAGTTACAGACTCCTAATTAGTGTGGCGCGGGAGCTATGGTATCGGGCTCCGTCCGTGCGTGCGTTCATCAACAAAAACTTTGACATTTTGTTTATCTTAACGGTGGGAGCCTCTGGGGCCACCAGTGCCCTATATTTTTTATTCAACTTGTTTCATTATTTGTTTTTGTTTTCCACCTGCCACACAAATCCAAATGGCTCTTGAATTAAGGACGTCACGATCCCTAGTTTGGAAGACAAATGTTCGAGAACAAACAAACATTCAGACTTGATGCCCAGTGAAATTTTTGGCCCAGTTTTTAGACTACAGTGCGCTTAGTCAGTGTTATGAGGCGAGTTTATCCTACGTGTCAGTGACTGGCTCCATGTCTGTCAGGTCCGCTCCGTTCCGGCTGGTCTATTTATACACAAGACGGGAAGATACTGGGTGAGTCCAGCCAAGTGCATGTTT